TTTATTTAATTTCTGGGCATAATATGAGAACAATGTCAGGTTCTATCCTACATACACGCAGTCTTCATGACATACCAACAAGCATTCTGCAATGTTTTGTAAAATATCAATGACACTTTTTCCTTTATACCACTCATACTGAACAATGTTGATTGATAGCTGCTGGAGTTATTTTTGGTCCATAAACAACATCAATGAGGGAAAAAGATACTGCAAGTTTTTTATGGGATGCTTTTCTTTAGTATGCAACATTTTGTGTTTTTCTGTTACTAGTACTTAGTATAAAGAAAGTTGTTCAAATACATTCCAACATATTTTTGCATTGATACTGTTTCTTGTAATTAAATAGCATCTAGACAAAGTTGTTTGAATGATTGAAATCGTACAGTGAAAAACACAAAAACCTTAAAAATCCTTAACAAACACCAAAAAGACAAGTGTACAATGCCAGAGTTCAAAATATCTGGCAACAGATGCTGGTATTACATGTATTATAGACAAACAGTAAATTATTATTTTATATTGCCAACTTACCCAGCAATTTTATTCCTCAGCTTCTTACTGGGAATAATAGCAATTTCCTCACATACTCGTTTGTTAGTATGAAAGTCGAGGGTAAGACGAGTGTAGTACTTTTCAATGATGACACGAGATGCCTTTTTGACAGTCTTTGTCCTGACGCGACCCTTAAAATCAAAATGCCATTAGATAAAGTATAGCATATCTAAAGTATATTATATCTAAAGTATAGCACATCCAGCCTGGTATTAGAGTATCTATGCTTTAACTGTACCTATGAATGAAATGCTTTCAAATATAGAGCTTTGATGCATGTAACTTGATAATAATTGCTTTGTATTTAAATGAACTTGGTCAAACCTTGCATTGTTTTTTTTCAAAGCAAAATATTATTGGGTACATCTTACCCAAGGAACAAGACAATTCAAAATAGAGCATCGCCAATAAAATACATTAATGCATTTAGGTAAAAACAGATAGTAAACACTCAAGAATCTCAAAAAATTCCAATGGACAGAGAGTAAAATAATATTGCATTTTCATTAAACGCTTTCAACACAAATAGCAAATCGATCATGTCTCGAATCTCAATAATTTTTCAGTGGAAGAAAGTACAGTGTGTAAGATAATAACATTAAACATAATTGCTGTTAAGCATCGTGATACTGTTCTTATTTTATTCTTTAAAACATAAACTTCGACGTAGAATAGAATACTCTGTGATCCGCATTTGCTACGAATGTCTATCAGAAATCGCTAAGATATTGCGAAAGATTAGTCCCTGATCTCGAAAAAGCCTCCACATATTACAGCAACGTATCTATTTATCATATATAACAGTAAAATTGTCCATTCTATGCAGTAAAGAGTCGGATGGAGACGGATTTTTATACTTTATTTTTATCAAACCTACCATTTTGAATCCCGACGATTAGAGAGACCTATCCCATGTGCCCTTGCATGCTTGAAGCCGTCAAATCGCGGGCTCATATCTTCTAAACAGGGATCCCAATCGTGTTTTATTTGCAAGAAATTCATATAAACAGATCAATTATTTATATTGATAGAGCGGATTTCGTATGAGTGGGAAACGGACGGTACTGTACTGTGTCCTTAATCGTACTGTAATCAAATTCTAGTGCCCCATTGTTTCACCAAAATTCTGCAGGYCAGRTGCKGTAAYTGTGCGGTAACCGTGCGGTAACGGTGTCCCACTCATACGAAATCCGCTCTATAAAAATACTTCAAATTTCGACTTCTTTAAATTAATTCAATGAAAAGTTTTGTATATTTTAAGACGATCGAAGTAGCCTCTTACGTAGAATGCCTTTCTAGCAAATTAAGATAAATGAATAAATAATTAGAGAGACAAAGAAAATAGATTTTTTTGAGCTGCGAAGCTAAGCTCTATCTTTTCTATCAAATATGTATATATTTTTATAGCAAATATAAAACTGAGATCATTTATGGGCTTCCTGTGCTGGATCCAAGTGTTTATCAGGTCAGTTATGCAAGCACAGGGGAAAAAGTTCTTTTGATCTTATGAAATAATTCTCTTTATTAAAATAGTTTTTTTTAAGGTTAAGAATTCGAATATAATTTTTACTTATTGAAATATACAGCTTCTCATGGCTTTGGCGTTCAATAGATCGAGTCATCTCTCAATATCAATTAATTAATTTAATTGCTATTTTATACACAGGGAACTTTTATGTGTCAATTCATGCGCTCATTCAATGCACGAGATGTCAAAAGCGGATCGGTATGTACTTAATTTTTCCACACTTTTTTGTCATTTATATAATGCAATATTTTAACTATAGTTACGTATTATTAGTTGTTTTACTAAATGTACATGACAACTATGTATTCAAGATTTGGAATTTTACCCGAGTTTTCTATCTGACTCCGTTATTAACCATCTGTGAATGGGAAAGTTCCTTGGAGTAGTGCTTGCTTTTTTCCGATTCTACTAAATATATATATATCAAGATGTCAAAAATTTAGGTTCCGATTACTTGAAGTAGCGTACCTCTGCTAAGGCTATCATCGAAATAGTAAAATCATTCTTTTTTATGCAGATGGTGACGGCTATCAGATGTTACCTATAGATTTTCATAGTCTATATAATAATATTAATTATAAATAACTTTATTAAACACAGAATTCAAAAAGCTACTGACTTATTTATATTACATTGAAGCTGCGTATAAAATAACAATTAAATAAATAAATCAAGCTAAGAGTTAAGATAAAAGGTGAAAAATATCGAGATATAATTAATTACATTAAAATAAATTTGAATAAAATTGTGAACATAATTGCCATTGAGTTGAGTGATTGCATGCTATTCAATTTAAAAAGAGGCGAAATGCATTTACTCCACACCCTTTTCCGACAAAAAAATACTATTCATATTAGAGTGCAAAGCTCGGCTCGACAATGCATGTTGCCAGGAGCCCCCTGCATGTTACGGAGACATTTGAATGGGTTCTTAACCTCGATCTATGCCATCGCATATATGGCATTGCTAGTGTCTGGAGAACTATTGAGAAAGCAATATTTTGTACCCCTCAGATACTATTACTACTACTACCACTACTACTATTATATATCACTCATAATAATAGCAATGATTGTCTTGTTTGTCATGCGACTCACGCAACTAGGCCATTTTCCATTTGTTATGGGTATAAGGGAATGAGATAATTCTAGTACAGGTGTTTGAATATAACGGTTATCGCCTGAAGTATTTATGAAGTTAATAGTAATATAAACATGTAGGCTTCAGCGTGAACCGTATAGGACGAATAGTTTTCGTAAAAAGATGTCAAGATGACAGAGAAATTTAGCTAAAAGTATTGAAAAATACCTAATGTAGTCCTATGTAAGCTGTGTTACTATTTCTGAGACAGTATAATTAACGAAGGCTGCACTTTAGAGCCAGAACTCCTGCTGTCGACACAGTGTTACGCAGTCCAATCACATGACATGTTTTGACAGCTATTCGTAGAAGTACAGCCTTTTGCAAAAATTATGAGAATTGTCTAAATATCTAAATATCATAATATCCATATCCACATATTGTCCGGAACACGAGGGTTTACTAGAATAATTCATTGTTTACATCGAGAAAATGTTCAGAACTACGGATAAGTCTGTCGCCAAAAAAACTAAACAATAAAGACAAGGGACTAAGGCCATCGCGCGGGATCATGCACTTGATATTATGATATTTAGATATTTCAACAATTCTCATAACTTTTTGCAAAAGGCTGTGTTGCTCCGCTGAACTAAATATCAATATATTGTGGAGGATGCTACATCATGCAGAGAAAGAAATCATATAGGCATATTGTGTTATATATTTTTTAATATAATTCGACATTCTGCTAAAACATCTTTAACTGAAGAGTATGAATGAGTTTGAGTAATGGATACGAAAGTCATCAGTGGTTCAGTCCAAAGTAATGAAAAACGTATTTTGGAAAGGTCATTAAATCTAGAAATTTTCCTTCAAAAGATGCCATAGCCTGGAAATAACATACTTCTAAAAATTGACCTAATTTAGCAAGTTGGTATAGGCTGTGTTTCTTGACGTAGCAAGTATCAATAGCGCTGATTCCATAGTCAGTGACACAATGATAGTGACAGTAGCGTGACGAATCTGAAAATATAATAGATTCCGTGCTCTGATAGCTATGCCGAGAAATATTGATCCATCTGACCAAATATCAATTCATAGAAGTCGGACATGAAGAGATATTAGATAAAATAGAAGATATTCTCAGTTTCATATAATTTGAGATTATGCTAAAAAATCTATCACTAATAATTGTATAAGTGGATTTGAGTAATACGGAATTCATCAGCGATACAAAGTAATCAACAAACCAATTTTATTGGTTATGGAACGGTTTTTATACTCAGGTTAAATGATAGTTGTCATAGTATACAAAGATTGCCAGGACAACCGTCACTATTTTCGCCAAATGATTGGTCGTGATTTCTGTGTACTTGAATCACCTCCGGAGTTTTTGAAAACACATCAGACGAATCTGAAAATGTCTTAAATTCTGAGAAGTCTTTTCTTAGTACAGCACAGCGTAGATTCGTCCCTAAAATGAACTGCAGATCGCGGCTCTACTGTACTGGCAGAAACCAAGATATGAAGGACCAGAGTATGAATCTGTTCGATTTTGCTGATAACGCAAAGCTTTTATATAGTTCTTAACGAAAAAGAACGACAGCGGGAATTTTCATTAAGAAAACATGATTGTGCTCCGACTAACAACACTAATGTTACTGAAGCGCATAAAGGCCAAAGGAAGCCGTCGCAAGAATCATCAAAAAATATGGCGCAGATAGACAAGATGGAATTAATGAGACTGAGACTCGTCACCAAAAAAACATTGAAGGGACGAATGTCACATAAAACAACCTACTATTCCTACAAATATTCGAAGAATCATGCACCGATGTATGCTAAAACACCCAAGTCTGATCTTCGTAACAGGAGAACACAGTGAACCACGTCGATCGAAGTAAAATGACTTAATCACCCAAAATGAGTTGAGGTAATGAAGCGCAATCATTTATACCATCAGCTTTAGACGCATTTGAAAGTTTCTCGGAATTTTTCAAACATATCTATTAAGTACATTTTCACTTTTTGTGAGAGTCCATTGTTTTGTACTTACGTATCGTCTTTTTTTCTGGGTTTTAAATAAATGAGAATAACTACAAGAAGCGACAAGCGACATTTGTTCCTCGAGGTAGGATTTAGAATTTACGTTTGAAGATGTAATTTCAATTGTTTTGAAAGACTGCAATGAATTGGATCAAAATTTAGAACGATAGCAAGAAAAACGCAGAATACACGAATATACGTGTATAAAGATTTAATAAATGGAGATTATATATATGTATACAGATTTTAAGAGGGCTACTCCTATGAAAATTCCGAAATTGTTAAAATTAAAGTGAACATATTGATGTGGCTTTATCAAAAGTTGAGCAACACATTCATAATATTTTTTTGAAATTCTGATAAATATTCGAAAATATTTTGAAATACAATTTTATAGTGTATCCCATTACACTTTGCGAGCCTATATGTAATAGACCATAATAGCGTGCCTCTAGGACGAAGAGTTATAGCAAAGCAACAACACTAGCTCATTTTAGTATTTCACATTGTGGACTTTTTTGCACAAAAATGCCTGTAAGTATTTTAATTTAATAACTCCATAATTTTTTTTGAAACTTTTATCAGAGTGCTGGTCAGTTGAATAAAGTAAGTATATACGTTTTATAACGCTGAGCTAACATGCATTTTGGCGGGAACGGGATATATCGATGTCGTAGTTGACTAAAATACTCCGAAAAAGACACTATAAATTTCAAGGAAACACGTTTATTTGTTCTCATATGTAACACAGCAAAGTATTTATAATACATAAACTTTATCACTGCCGAATTTTAGATGTTACAAGGAATTTTCTTTCTCAGCTATAATATTTATTGGACCTCAAATGTATACGTAAAATTTCCAGTCGAAAGAGAAAACCTGACTTACTCAGTCACAATATAATTTTCTATAGTAAGGTTTTGCACTATCTATAACGGATTTTTTTACGTTTTCTCCGAGTATAGATTCACTTGTGCACTTTGAATCGTAGCAGCGACCATTGAATTTTAGCATGTGTTCTGCTTACTAGCAATTTTACATACTGAATGGGAATTCTTTCCCATTTTCACCAAGCAATCACAATAAAAAAGGGGGAACAATTCATGCTGGCTCAGTCATAGCATGTAAGTGATCGAGTGTTCCTACTAGAACTACTTTCCTAGGAAATATTGAAGTGAGTAGTAGCATACAGCACGCTGAATTGCACATCGAGTTCTGTGAAGTTCAAGTTTTCTTGATGGTACCCTAGAAATATAAACTGCCTTTTCATTTTGTTTTTGTTTTTCATGCTTAGCCTAAACAACCAAGATCAAGCTTTTCAGTTTATGGCCAAGTAATTTTGCCATTTATCTCTAGCAGAAACCTATAAGCGACTTGAAACGTATAACGCCGTGCCAACCGTTGGAATATTCAAACCTAATTTTGGATCTCATTTCCATATTTGATCTTATTTGAAACAATTAAATTTACCCTATAGCCAACCAGAACGGGCCTTCAATCTCTTATCCAACGGCCGAATTTTCCAAATATGGTCATAACGCTCGTTTTCGAATTTTTAATGAGCTTCGAATATTCCGACGCTTGGTACTAAAGAAATGTTTGGGTGTTACACGTTTCAAGCCCCTTATAGGTTTCTGTCTAAAGCACCTATGGACTGATAAACCTGAATACATGGTTAGAAATAGACTTCTGAAGCTTCTACGTCATGTACCATGTACACAATGCATTGTAGGATATGTTTGGGACAGAACATGGCGGATTTCTTTTGTTTTCTCTAGAAACTGATCCCACAATGCATTGCAAATCAAATAGTGACGTAAAAGGTTCAGACGTCTATTCTTTCCATCATCATTTGACAACAAAAACCCATGTATTTGGACAGTGTGGCACACTAACCATGATCAGAACACTAACTTTTACACCCTAATAAACAGTTACTTGTGTGGTCTAAAAGGGACTCCTATATATATGTATGTTTCCCTTGAGGTCAAATATATTTTGAAAAACAATCAATAAATATATAATAAGTCTACCATTTACAAGCAAAGGGGTTTGAACATATTTCCAAAATATAATGAGATCACTTCGTCCTATCTGACTAAAAATGTAGACTTAAAGTTATTTCGAAATGGTTGAAAAGTAGAGCGAGGTGCATATTTTAAAAGTCGTATCATATTCATTCTATCTGATTATCATGGCCAGAAATTCCGGACATTTGAGCCCGGGACGAGTCAGCGGCTTTTCCCACCAAAATAGAGCTTTCTACAAGTTTCCTTGACAAAGTTTGAACTTTTGAAGATCAAATTTTCTACTCTTCTGCAACGATCCTTTATCTTAATACAATACCGGGTTAAAATCGAAATGTTCAAAACATCGACAAACGAGAATTGGGATAGTACGCCCTGATCCTTAAGTTCATTAGTGGCTTGTGAGTTGCTCGTTTGGAATGTTCATAGTGTAAATGATATTATTTGCTGGAACACACGTTTGCCTCAGTTATTTTAAACAATGATCATCAGTTGATATTGTGATCTTTTGTTTATACTTGTACATTTCTAAGGAATTTAAAAGGTCTGACATTGTTTACACTAAATAGCGTAGACTTGATAGGTCTATCTTTCGTTCGTATTTCCCGCTATTTGCCAGTGCGCGCAAGGCGCCACTAAAAACCACCAAAATTAAAGCAGTCCCAGTCTGAAAGCCACGTTTCTAAGGTTTATTTTGGTAGCAAACATGGCGAATAAAATGGAAAGAAAATGGAAGGTCAAGGGCAATTATTCGCGTGAAACACGAGTCGTCGCCAGCCATTTCACCGTCAAGTTAGTGTTTTCAAATTGTACGATTTCTAGTACCAAAAGGCGGTGTTTATCTTCTTCAAAATAACTGAAAATCGCTGTGTTTCTAGCTGAATGTGTGGACTTTGAGAAATGATCTTTGAAAAATCAATGACATGTAAGGAAACACGATCAGCTAGGGCGAAATTTCGCTTCTTCGCAAATTTTCACCATGAAATACAAGGGCAAAGGAGACGACGGAAGGAAAAGAAAATTGTCAAAAAGGACGCTCTTAACAATTTCGTGTTTATTTGGCTTTCCTACAGTAGAATCAAGAATAGTTTCCCTCTAGGACTTCATCTTGGAAAACGTTCCAGGTAAAACAGATCAAATGTTATTATCAAATAGTTTTTTTGATCCGTACATTTCTTTGTAAAATTTAGCAATGTTAATGTTTTTGTGCTTTATGCGAAGTACCGCTGCTAATGCGGGCTGGTATGTCCGGATTTTCTGGCCATGAGATTAAAGTCAGTTTTGATCTTGTTTTTAAATTGCACTTCCAAACCTAACCAAACCTTATCAAACCAAACCAAGCTCAAGAAACTTAAGGCTTATATAACGTTTTTATGGTCAATAACGTCTGTTTCGGAAATTTTTGTTTTTCTGGCAAAAATTCTTAGAAAGTATTCTTTGATTGGAGAATTCTTTCGTCCTGACTTTCTCGCTGACAACCAGTAGTGACTTCCAGCTGGCTGGGACATAAGAACAGATATATTTCTCCCAGGATTCCGTCGCCTCCTCCTACTTCTTACTAAGTACAGAAAACGTAGCTTTTATTCAACAACTTATACAGTCAAATGTAATACTTTCTATAGTGAAAATTGTTTACTATTGATCGCTTCAATCATTCGCATGAGATTCAAAAGAGGAATGACCGGCGGCCTTGTTTGAGGAGTGAAGAATATATACTGCTGCGAAATCATTCAGGAGGAGCCGACGGATTCCAGGGAGAAATTATCGATTCTGTTCTTATGCCCCAGCCATGCAGCTGTAACTATATTTAGCCATCCCCTTCCACACAACATGATGTTTTGATCCTAAAGAAGCAAGCTTAAACATTCTTAAAACTAAAGTAGCGAATGACAACCTAACGCTGGCTACCTTTTATTTTTTTCAGTATCTTGCTTTGCCCACCCTGTCGATCAACACGCAACACGTGCAACAAACGGAGGGACTGACGCGTTTTAGAAAAGTGCCACAAGAACAAAGTGAGCTTGATGTAAGTCGAAAAATTAATCTATGAATTCATATTTAGGCTGCAGATAACTCTGTCAGCAAAAGATTTCCAGTGTAATTGTATGTATCATGATGAATTGTTCATTCTGAGAATAATACCACAAGGTCAATGTGGCCTGTGATTTGAGATATGAAAACCAAGTTCCTTTTTCCCCGATGTTTTCCTCATTTATTCGTTAGTCATGGCTAAGAGGATAGCATGATACCGGATTTGCGATAGTTCATCATTGCTAACAGAGTTGAACAGAGTTGAATTAACAGAGTTGAATTAACGAATTAACCCTATATTTAAGTGCCCGGCAGGTGCTTTTTTGTCATATTTTCAATTGGAATCGCCACACAAATACGATATTACACAATACAAACCAATGAGGCAAAACATAAATTGCTAATAAGTCTATTAAAACAAATGTTAAAAGAATCGTAATAATGTAATAAAGCAAAGTGGCCTAGGTCAGAAAAAGGTTTTCTGTTCGTTCTTTAAACTTCGAGAAATTGTTAAATCCAGTCTCCGATGCACAGGGTAGCACTCATTTTAATAGCTTGAATATAGAGTATCCAGATATATGTTGGTAAAGTTTAGTAACATTATTTATTTTTATATGAATTTGCAGTCAGTGTCCAATAGTCGTCAGCAGATGCTGTTTAAACCAATCTGTCCAGAATCAGCACACATTCATATTGTATGTATTAGTTATCAGAGTTACCAACAATCAACGTTAATCCCATTGCTCAGTGAAAAAGTAGCGACAGGGAAAAAAAATCATTTTAGTATGTCAATAATTTCAATTTATTAAAAAAAAATATTCAGCATACAGTTTCAAAATTTCCTTACAATGTCAATATCATTTAATTTGCTATTTATCTACAGTTTAGAATTAAAATTCTTCCTAGGAACATAAAACCGAAAAGTACAACCGAACAACGTTGATTAGATTGACTGTATATAAAATATTCAATAACTTAAGCTTTCCCTCCACAGGAGCAAAATCATCAACCAAGATCGCTCAATGATGTATGTGAAGAAATTCGTGAATGCATTGTAGAGGAGCTGGATTAGTTAGATCTATTTTCATGCATAACAATATAGGAGTAAATTTAAATCATAACAGAAGCTTTCATATATGTAATATATGCATTGCACATCAAATAGGTTACGTAAAAGCTTCAGATGTCGAGCTAAAATGTCAACTTCATATTCATCACTACTGTTACTTGCTACTACTATAGCGATAAGCATCTTAGGTATCAGTTCATTTTAATTTATGCCATTCAGTGTAAATGTGTAAAAAGTTAGGTATGCAGGTGAATTATTGTTCCTTTATGTTTTTTTCTTGCTTTTTTGTTGTGTAACAATTTTTTAGAAAACCTGTTTTTACTGTTAGTACCTTTACTACTGCTATATTAAATGTGAATTCTACATGACAGTTCCTAAATTTTCAATTTCATAGAAAAATGTAACTTTCTTTTGACGCGTCAGTTTACAATAATAAAGATGTAGTTAATTAGATTATTACGTTTTTTTGATGTTTTACTTCCAATTTCAAGTTGCTTTGTTTATCTAAGTTTCAATCGAAGATTCTATGCACTCAAAACCTACAAGAAATAGTAGCAATTTATGCAGAATACTAGTTGTTTCCAAGTTTTAGGATACATTTTTGTATAAATAGATGTTTTTGCTATTGTACTTCTTGGCATCAGAGTATGTAACCATAGCCTGCGTAGCGGCCCTAAGGGGATTGGGGAGGGCCGGCCGAGCGAGGAGTGGGGAGGAAAAATAGGAAGGACCTGCAACGGAACCCACGGTTTTACAAAATCTACAGTTGAATGTGGCCGTAAATTCTCTATTGGTCGAGAGGAGCAGGCTGTCAATCAAATCCCAAAGTGATAGATAACAGATGAAGTTGGCGTATTTACCAACGAGTGGTGGGCGATGAAGAAGGATTTCGTAATCAGTTAGAGCTTCTTTTAAGTGATTTAAAAGAAAACGGTTTCGATATGATAATCAACAAGCTTTGGCCTGGACTTTTTCCCGTTGGTGTTAAGAATTTTCGTTTAGAAGAACCTTTAATATATAGTATCGGGAAACTGTGTCACTTCTTTTGTCAGAACGTCGTAGAATTTACAAAATATATTTGTCTTTCTAGCCCAAGGGAAGCAGATCAACGATCGGCGAATACAGTAAATAAACTGAAACTCTTGACGTCGCGACCTCATACATACTGACAGCGCTTCGTTATAGGTTTATTTTGACAACTGTCAAGTTAGATCTTCCGAGGCTTTAGAATTATTAATTATCGAACTTATCAAATGATGTTTAAATTTTACAATTTCGTTTTTTAAAAAGGCATCGCAAAATCTTTCAGTTAAAAGAGTTCATGTTTGGTTTGCCATGTGACACTGAAAAGCACAACGAAATTAACAGCATGTGCAATGTTAACATCTTAAGAAAACTGTATTAAGGGCTACAATCTCCAGTTGGAATCATAAGTTTCCCTCCAAAGATGCCTGAAAATAGCATAGTTCTAAAACATAACCTAAGGTACAATCCATGAGAATTTTGAGGGAAGGGGGAGTTGGAATATTTTGAAAAGAATATTCCTGCAAGGCAAAATTTTGAAAAAATCTCCACTGAAGCTTTTGTTAATTTACAACGGACTCAAAATTCTAAAAGATTACCCCTAATGTAGGTCGGTATAGGCTGTGTTTCTATGACGTAGCAATAGCGCTGCTTCCATAGTATGTGACACAATAAAAGTGAAAGTAGCGTGACGAATCTGAAAATATCATAAAGTCCATGCTTTGATAGCTATTCGGAGATTCATCTATTAAAATTCATAGACGTCGGTACAGCTGTAAGGGACAGATAAAATACTATTTCTTCTAGGGAAGATATTCTTTAATGTAATCCGAGATTATGCTGAAAATCTATAACCAATAATTGTATAAATGGATTTGAGTAATAGATACGAAAATCAGTGGTACAAACTAATTTTATTGGTTGTTGGGAAGTGTATTTGATGTGGTTAAATGATTGTTGTCATAGTATACAAAGATTGCCAGGGCAACTGTTATATTTTCGCCAAATGATTGGTCTGTGATTTCTGTGTACTTGAATAACCTCCGGTGTTTTGAAAACACATCATATGAATCTGAAATTATCAAAACTTCTTAGAAGTCTTTTCTTAGTACAACACATCGTCGATTCGTCCCTAAAATGAACTGATCGCGACTGTACTGGCAGAGAACCAAGATATGAAGCACCGGAGTATGAAAGTGTTAGCCTTTGCTGCAGATATCGCTAAAAAAACAGTAACGGGAACTTGCAATAAGGAAAAATGATTGTACGCCGAATAACGACACTGATTTTACTGGTACTGAAGCGCATAATATTCCTGTGCTAAGGCAAAAGGAAGCCGTCGCAAGAATCATCAAAAAATATGGCTTAGATAGACAAGATGGAATTAATGAGAATGAGACTCGTAGAAAAAATTTGAAGGGACGAATATCACATATAACAACCTACTATTCTTACAGATATTCGAAGAATCACCGATGTATGCTAAAAAATCCAAGTCTGATCTTCGTAACAGAGAACACAGTGAACCACGTCGATCGAAGCAGAATGATTTAATCGGACAAAATGAGTTAAGGTAAACTTTAGCGCAATATTACTGTAAACTTTAGACCCATTTGAAAGATCTCAGAATTTTTCAAACATATTTTAATAATTAAAATTATTAAGTGAATTTAATTTAACTTTTTGTTAAAGTCCATTGTTTTGTAGTTACGTATCGTCTTTTTTTCTGGGTTTATAAATGAGAATAACTACAAGAAGCGATAAGCGACATTTGTTTTGCGTGTAATCCGTTCGCTACCTCGAGCTAGGATTTACAATTTACGTTTTGAAGATCAGTGTAATTTCAATTTGTTTGAAAAAAACATTTAGAATCAATAAATTGAATCAAATTTAGAAAAACTCAGAGTCATATCAAAGAATTGTATATCATTCGTGCGGGTTCCCTGTGCTTTTTAGTTTTGGSCTTMMTTTAGCRAATHCAKGCCATATATGGAAACAAACAAAATGGCGGATTGTTTAGAAGTGTTTTCGCTTTAATATCTGCAAGTTTCCGACGATTTCAAGCTTTAAAAGTCGAGAAAATCGACAAAAACCATTCCTATCGAACTTCCAAATAAGGTAAGATTACCATATATGGCTGCTAAACGAAGGATAACTTTGTGGGGGCAATTGTTTGATATGGAAAGTTATATGTGTATAGATTTAATATATTGAGATTATATATGTGTACAGATTTTTAAAGGGCTACTCCTATGATTCCGAAATTGTTAAAATTTAAGTGAACCTATTATTGTGGCGTTATCAAACATATTTTTAATATTTTTTTTCTGATGTTCTGATAAATATTCTCAAATATTGTGAAATAGATTTTTGTAGTAGGCGACATCATTACTTTACCCCATTCCCCTTTCATCCTTTTTGAGCCCCGGGACTAGGCCGAGAGGTGTTTTCCCTTTTCCAACTAACGATTGTGGACTTTTCTAGCAAAAATGTCTGTAAGTATTTTAATTTTGGTTTATAATAAGTTTATAACTTTTTTGAAACTTTTATCTGTGCAGGTCAGTCAAGAATACTTTTTCAGAAAGCCCTGAACTGGCATGCATACGCCATGTTGAAAATGGCGTGACTATGTAAGACTTCGCGTAGCCCTACTAGGAAATTTCAGAGGGTTTCTAAAGCATGTTCTAAATAACTCTCGTAAATTTTGGCTAGAGTGCCTCTTTTAAGACACATTCAACGCCGTTGTCAGCTTTTCTTTTAACAACAATAGATTTTGCCTGGAACGTGCATGTGATCGATGTCGTACTTGACTAAATCACTCCGAAAATGACACTAAATTTCACGGAAACACGTTTATTTTTTTCTCATATGTAACACAGCAAAGTATTTATAATAGATAGACTTTATCACTGCCGCATTTTAGATGTTATATAGGGAATTTTCTTTCGCAGCTATAATATTTATTGTACCTAAGCTATGTATACATTTCCAGTCGATAGTGAAAGTCTTCACTGACTCAGTCATAATATATAGTTTTTTTATAGTAAGGTTTGTACACTAGTGCACAAACATGAATAAAACAATTCTTAAGTAATTAGCGCCTAATAAGATTTAGCTATCAAACTAAGAATTTAGTGAGGCATAGAGTTGTTTTCATAAACCCGTGAAACAAAGTGTAATAATTAGAGTGTAATAGATCGTAATAGTCGTGTAGAGACAATAAAAAAACAAAACAGCCAAAGTGTAATAGCGATAAATACGCTAAAGTGTGTTTCACGGGTTTATGAAAACCACTCTAAAAAAAAAGAGCCAAAGTGTAATAGCGATAAATACGCTAAAGTGTGTTTCACGGGTTTATGAAAACCACTCTAAAAAAAAGAGCCAAAGTGTAATAGCGATAAATACGCTAAAGTGTGTTTCACGGGTT